ATATATATTAAAGGAAGATGTAATATTCTCAATAGAAGAAAGGCCTCCTGTGAATAATTCTCAAAAAATATTCAAAATATATCCATAAACATTTTCTATATTCATTTATTTATTCATTCAACAGATATTTATTACATGCAAACTTTGCAACAGGTATTAGTGGAGCACCTTCCACACATGAAGCAAATTTTTTTAACAGAACCTCCTCTACATGACAAAACTGTTGTGTCTGGAGTGAGAATTTATAGATTTTGTCTGAGCTTCATGAAATTTATACCAATAAAAAAATTAGAGGTATGAGTTTAAAAACATAAACAAAATCACTTTATTGGAAAGATGAGAGAACTAAGGCAACAGACAGCTACCTTGTTGGAGTAAGAGAGGGAATACAGGTGCTCCAGTGTCTTTGTTCTTAGCCCCTGGTGGTGTATGGTAAGAAAGAGACCCACTCCCTTGACAGTTGTTATAACTTGATTAGCTATTTTGGGCACTAAGACCTTTGATTTGGTGACTGACCATCTCCATTGTCTAAGTCCAAATTCCTGAGTGAACTGCTTTTGATCTTTTTTGGTCTGCTAAGGTGTTCATCTCTGAAATTTATGGTAGAGTATTACATTCAAATCGAAGTTAGCAATTAATAAAGGGATGCAGGTACATTTTAGTGCACTAACGTGTTGAGAATGAATGCAGGTATGAGTGTCTATCTTATATTCTAAGTTTTTTTATAATATATTCCCCTCTCCACTTTGTATATTGCTAGATGTAGAGAGGAGCAAATTGGTGTCCTGTCCAAAGCTTATCAGTTTTTTTCTCCTTCTCTTAAGGGTTTTTTTTTGTTCATTTGTTTTTTGTTTTCTGGGTATTTTTTGTATTTAGGATAGCGCCTACAGGGTCTACAGGCTCTCACTGTGTAGCTCAGACTCCTAGTGATCCTCCTGTTTCCAGCCTCCCAAGTCCTGGGATCACAGATGAACACCACCACACCCAGTCTCAATCTCCTTTTCATCGCTTCCCTGGGGTGAGGCCTACAAGGCAGGCCCAGGGCTTGAACACCTGGCCCCTATGTCTGCCTAAGCAGGTGCTCTAATCTGCTGAGCTATTTGGTTGGCCCTTCTGCTTCTCTTAAATATTTTCTCTGTCAGGGCTTTACTTCTTTCTAGTCATGATTTGAAAAAAAAATTAAGACCCTTATGTTTTCTTATGTTTTCCTTCCTGTCCCCCAATTTTCTCTGCAACATTATTTGTAGAAATAGTCATGAGGTAAAACTAGCCAAGTATGGTGGTGCATGCCTGCAGTCCTAGCACTCTGGAGAGTGACACAAGAAGATTGCCATGAGTTCCATGCCAGTCTAGGCTACATAATGAGGTCAAGGCCAGGCGGGACTACATAGCATGACCTTTTCTCAAAAACTGAATAAAAAGGGCTAGCCAAATAGCTAAACAGATTAAAGCACCTGCTTAGGCAGACACAGGCCAAGGATTTGATCCACTGGACTGCTATGCCAGCCCCACCCCCAGGGTTTGCTGAGCTGATGATTGAGCCTGGGCATTGTGGCACACACCTGTAATCCCAGGACTTGGGAGGCTGTAAACAGGAGGATCACTACAAGTCCAATCTACATAGTGAGACCCTGTAGACACTTTAGACCCTGTACTAAATTAAAAAAAACCCTGAATAATGCTAATAATAGCCACAAAAAACTGAGTTACAACTTTCTTTTACTTGCATTAATACAACCCAGAGAATAGAGGAAAATAGTGATAATTTTGAAAGACTGCATTAATGCATTTTTAAAGAAAAAAATCTACACATTAGACTACTATGATAATGTTGTAAGCAGCTGAATTAGAAGTATTATAGGCGAGGGAACTACCCACTCAGACCCCCCCTCCTGTCCCTCTCTTGGACAGGAGCTTACTTTCTCTCAATAAGTATATTCTGCTCATAACCTCCATTTGTTCTGCTCATAAAAAAGAAGTATTATAGGCAATCAGACAGGGCCAGGCCCTCAAAGGAGACAGTACAGAAGACAATATACCTTGCAGCTGTAAGAGAGATGGACTCTCCTGCTGTGGGCCAGACCTAAAGATCAAAGATTGAACAAATGCTTGCCTTGCTAAAGATAAGCATCCAGGATTGATCATCACCTTAAGGAAGTCAGGAAGAGTATTAATATTAATCCAACTGCTACTGGCTACTGGCTAAGTTTCCATTCTGTATTCATGCCCTCTGGCTACATGACTTGCTTTCCCATTTTGTCCTGGATTTAACCAGTTTTACCTGAGCAATAGTGCTTGTAACCCTACCGATTGACCATGTGCGAGTTCCCATGTTTTCCACCTTGAACCTGCCTCACCTCAAGGTTTTGCTCTGTAAACGTCCCTGGAAATGGTACATTCCTCAGGGAACTTACCCAGGTCCCTTTCTTCCCCTCTCGGACAGAAGCTTTCTTTACACCAGTAAATATCCTGCTCTTAACCCCCATTGTTCCTGAAATTCATTCTTTAGTGGTTTTAGAGAACACCAACTAGTCCCAAGTATCTTTCACATTGGGAGTTTCATTCCCCTATATCAATAGTTTCTTTTTTCAAACTAATATTTGAATATGTCAATGACATCATCAAAATTTAATACCTCTGCATATTCAATAGATGGTTTAAAGTCATTTTATCATTATCATTGTTCATTATTGAACTTTTTTTAGTAATTTTAGTGTCAGTGAACTATCCTTCAATTATGTCAATAGAAAAAGCCCTATGATTCTGATTAAAATTAGGATGTATTCACAAAAATCCAAAATCTAAGTATTAAAATACCATCAATGCCTTTGTTCCTTCAGAGTTACATATAAGAGAATTCAAATCTCTTGCAAGTGAAAATTTCAGAGTACCTTCAGAAAATTATAAATTTCTATCATAATTGCTAACTATTTAAGAAATTTTCTTCTTTAAGAATCTGAAAATAGGGGCCAGGGAGATAGCTAAGGAGAACAAGTGCTTGCCTGGCAAGTGCAAGGGCCTGAGTTCTATCCCCAGTTCTGGAAAGAAAAAGAATGTGAAAAGCAGGCCAGTGAGATAGCTTAGTGCACTAAGCACCTGCTTAGACAAGCACAGGGCCTGAGGTTCAATCCCTGGCACTGCATGGTACACTGGCCCCGCCTCCAGACACTGATCAAGCCACCATGTACAGGCATGGTGGCGGACACCTATAACCCCAGCATTGGGAAGGTAGAAACAGAGGCTCTCTATGAGTCCTGCTGTATAGTGAGAACTTGTACCAAATTATAAATAAATATATAAATAAAACTAAAAAAAAAGATTCTGAAAATGCCTGAATGAAAATGTGACATCATTTGTCCAGTGCTTACTTTAAATTACCAAGAAAGCCAAATACTGCCCTTCTGATTTTTGGCCGTTAGACAAATATTGTTTCTCACTTATCCTGCTGTTGTTCTTTAAAGTATCTATTTTCTTATTTTATACTATTGCTTAATAAAGGACTGTCTTTACAGTTTCTATAATCCAAACTTCAAAGAAAAATGAAAACTTATTTTTCACTGTGTTTTCCAAATTTTTTGCTATTTAATAAGACTTATTAAAAATTCAAAGTGGGGGGCCTGTCAGTTAGCTCAGTTGCTTAACTGCCTGCTCATGCAAATGCAGTCAGGTGCAGGATACTGTGGTTTGATTCCCACCTCCACCTGCATTATGAGACCCACCCTTAAGGCAGCCTGAGCCAGCCAAAAAAAAATCATTCTCAACTTATAGTGCTTACCTGGCAAGCACAGGGTCCTGGGTTCAATCGCTGGTACCACAAAAAAAAAAAAATCAA